AGGGAATCAAGGGCTTCAGACTGGATCTTGTCCCACGTGTAAGGGTCTTTCTGTATTAGTAATTAGTAATATTAGTAATTAGTAATAACTTTTCACTAGGTAATTAAGACATCTCAAAACAGGCAAACAGCCCTGCCTGATCCACTCCTGTGTGGATCTCTGCAGACAGACAGCTCCACAGGCAGAACATGGTGGGGGAAATGACTCTGGACAGGATCACCCCTGCGCCAAGGCCAAAATAAAGGACTTTGTCCCCAACAAAGCCCCACTGCAACGGGAGCCTCGGGGACAGCTGCCAGTTGCAGTTGCAAGTGCCCCCTCTTGCCCAGCTCTCCAGAAACCCCTCCGGTTCCCATGTCCTTGATGGGTTACTGCAGCATCCAGCTCTGTAACAGCAACCAGCAGGAAAGGGCAACTGCGGATAGAGCGGGGTGCTCTGGCTGCCCCAAAATCAATGGCAACGTTTCCACTGGTGGCAGCTGAAGCAGATTTGAGTTACGACGACAAGCCATGACAGCAGGGTCAAGGCTGGCATCAGCAAAGATGTGAGCTGGCATTGACACTAATGAGGAACAGCAAGGAAGTTTGGTACCCATCACCAAATGCTTCTCAGTCGCGCCTCTGACTCATTGCACCCAAACATCTGACCCGAACTTTCAACCTCACAGATTTCCAAACCTGGAAGCTAGATGTGATGAAATCCTTCGCTGCAGAAAGCAGTTACAGTAAATAAGCCACTGTGCTAGGGTAGGAGCAACATTGCCCAGCAGATACTTCCCTGTGGAAGAGGTGGACATGCAGGACCTGTCCCGTGGGCTCCAGGCACAGTGCTGGGGGCTTGGAGGTGGAAGCAAAGCCTCACTCCCCGCTTCCTCCTGACTGCGAGATGGGAGGGTGGTGCTGAGTGAAAGCAAAGGTAATGAGAACCACAATGAGCAAAAGTGAGGGTGGGAGTATGGAGGGGCTCTGAGGGATGAAAATCCCTTAGCAAATAACGAGGTTTGTAAATTAGTCCTTCTTAATAAAAATATGTGAATAAATTAACTTTGCCTGATGCTTAAATCTGTTCAGTATTTCTCTGTTGCACAATTAAGCAAAGTCTGGCAAGGCAGCTTACCTCTTGAGCACGTAATATGACTCTATAATGGATAACATTTTCTATTTTGTCATGCCTTTATCTTGCTGAGGAAGAACACCTCGCAGGAGAGCGAAACGATTTCCAGCAGCTCTGCCTCGTGCCAGTCCCCCTGCCCAGGGAAAGCATCGCAGCCCAATTCGACACCAGGGAAAATGTGGCTGATGTGCTGCACAAGCTGTTCCTGCCAAAGCAGGCACCATCGGAGCATCCTCCGCTCCTCAGGGCCTCCCTTCCCATTTCTGCTCTTGGGGTCCTGCTGACACCCCTCATGGAGGTGAAAAAACAAGTTACTGCAGGGATTAGGCTCCTTCCAGCCGTGCTGGCAGGTCCCCTCTCTTCACCACACACAGGCTGCCCTGGGTCTCACCTCCACCATACACTCATGTTTAACTCCATACCTGTGGTTCCCCCATGGCTCTCCTCGCTGGTCCCTCAGGCTGGAAACCACTCAGAGCTTTTCTTCCCTGAGCCCCCCACTCAAGTGTCATGTTTGCCACAGTTCCCTGCGTTTAGTTTCTCACATGAAAATCTGGGCTCTGGGTTAAGTGGCATAATGGCAAAGAGCCAGCTTTCAACATCCTCTTTCTCCTCAAAACAGAGTCATCACTTAACTATTTATGATACAAGATGGCATCAACTCAAGGAACAGTACTCTTGTGTTAACACCTTTTCACGGGCATTGATTTTTCAGTGATATTCAAGTGTATCAGTCTTCAGCATGCACACGTTTTAATGTCAGTACAACTGCACCTCTGAAACAACCATAATGGGTATCAAAGTTTTTAAATGTAGGAATGAAGAAATCAAAAAAAAACCCTTCTGACAAGATGACACTTCACAGCACAGTGTAACACTTCACAACATTTATTACCCTCCTTTCTAAGGAACAAACCTCAGCATCGCCATGCCAAGAGCCACTTTTTTTGGCTACTGCCCAACCCTCACCTCCTCACCAGCGCTTCGCAAGGGGTTCACCTTCCAAACCCAAATTCTTCCCTTCCTGATTTCTACGTGGCTAGTAAAGCTAAAAGCCCCATGTGAGGGTCACGAGGCCAAGGAGGCGGATGGCACCTCGGGCACAATCCATTGCCTCCTAGGGCAGATGTCCAAACGAGGGCAGGAGAATTGATCCCCAGATGCAGGCAGGCAACAAGGGCTCTGCTGCCCGTGGTTCCCTGTCAATGAACCTGCTGAAACTGGTGTGATACCCACCAAAGAACTTTATCAAAATCTCATCCTTCGTCTCTTCTGCAAAATGGAAATGGGAGCACATCTCTTCCTCAAGAAGGGTTTATGAAGGCTGCGAGTCTGGGGGCAGAGGCAGAGCAGCAGTACCTCGCACTGATTATTATCCTTTCAAGCAGATGTAATTATGCTAATCAAGGCTTGTCTGATGCTGAATTTTACAGTCTAGAAGTGCAAAGTTCCAAGGATTAGTCTTTAGTGGTTAAAATTTAGTGGGAGCTGAAGGAAACTCTAGAGAAGACTGGGAGAACTGCACTGGACTGGGGTCAGTTTTTCCTAATAAATACGATTTTTTTTAGGCTGAAAAGGGGTGTTTCAGGAGCTGACTCACATGCTGCTCAGCTGCCCTGGCTGAGAGCTGGGCAGCGCCTGCCCAAAGGATGCAATGGGACACTCAGGGTGGTACTTAGTCCTCTTAGTCCATCTCTGTGGTCTCATCCACTCCAAACCCCATCTGAACCTGGGGGGGGGGCCATCTCTAAAACAAAGCCCATCCCCACACTTGTCCCCAGCACTTCACCATTCCAGCCTCCTCTCCCCCTGCCCCAATCTCCTCTGAAGACTTCCCTCAGAAGGCAGGGAGAAGAACTGAACATTGCTGGGGTGGGGGTCCCCAAATGCTGCTGGCCATAAAAGAATTATTTCTTAATGTATCATCTCTTGCAAAAAAGATAAGTCTTCACAAGGAAAAACCTTTTTTAAAGATGTGCTTGTTGGAAGGCAACATGCTGCTGGGATGGTTTGCTGGCTGAAGGGGCTCCTCTGTTCTCCTCCCAGCTATTTTAACCCCTGGCTCCAGATAATTTTGGCTACTCAGTGGGCACATGGAATCTTTTTGCTTTCCCCAAACAGAACAGCACAGGGCATTTTCTAGAGAAACCTCATGCCAAAGCCCTCTCGTTGCTGTAGAGGCAGAAAGGTGCTTGAATTAATCATCAGCACAGCAGGGAATTACGGAACCTGGGGAGCTGAATGCACCAGGGTTTTGTTAGATAGATGCTTAAAAAAATAGTCCAGACCTACTTTGTTTCAAGCACCTCAGAAGCTGAGAGAATTTGGTGCATGTGGCGGCAGCTGCCACTTCACTTCTGTAATTTAATCTCATTGAGGTGCATTATGTCAAATAATTACCTTAATGAAGACTCTAATGGGAGAAGGGAGGAAAATAATAGAGATGCTTTGAAGAAATGAAGCTGCGAAGTTGCTTTGTTTTTAACTTGCACTGATTTCTCTCTCCCTCCTCTGGCTCTTGCCATTACAGAAGTGTCTGATCTGCCCCTCTTTCAAAAGTAACATTTCAGATGCTGCCCAGTGATGGATTTTTTGCATCTTGGATACAATACTGTAGTTTTTGAGTTTGAAACAATCCAATATGTACAAGCAGCTCTTGGTTCAGGCAAGTCCAGCCCTCCAAGTCCTGCTGCTTCCCTGTTCCCTGCAGAGCACTGACTCAAATCTCAAGCTTCTGTCAACTGCTTTTGAAGTCATCCAGGATGTTGCCCTAAATTAGAATCATAGAGTCATAGAATCATTTAGATTGGAAAAGACCTTTAAGATCATTGAGTCCAACTGTTAACCTAACACTGCCAAGGCCACCACTAAACCATGTCCCTAAGCACCACACTACACATCTTTTAAATACCTCCAGGCATGGTGACTCCACCACTTCCCTGGGCAGCCTCTTCCAATGCTGGATAACCCTTTCGGGGAAGAAATTTTTCCTAATATTCCTTGCTGAGGAACAACTGGCACAACTTGAGGCTGTTTCCTCTTGTCCTATCATTTGTTACTTGAGAAAAGAGATCGACACCCAAATTGGCCTTTATTGGCTGGTGTCATCCACTTCTGAGGTCCTTCAGCTATTTTATGTGTATTTTATTTTGAAGAGCCATTGTGAAGTGATTTCATAAAGTCCTCATGTGCTGGTTTCCACCACCACCTGTGCCCAGGATTTGCATCTCATGGTCATACTGGTCTTGAATTTATTTCAGTGGGCTGAAATGACACTTTCTTAGGTGAACAAACTATCTTCTAATGGTTAATATTTATTCTGTGCATGAAACTTGAAAGAAAAACTCCCTGAAAATTAAATTAATGAAGTCAAATGAGTTTGCTTTCTTGCTGCCTGAAGGGATGACTTGAGAAAGAAAGGAAGCGTGTACTTCCAGCATGGATGTGGTGGGGAAGGTAAAGGAGCTCTTTGCCCACCCTGACTCCCACCTGTTTCCCAGTTAGCCTTGCCTAAAGCTGCAGATGTCCTTCAAGTCATATGCACTATCTCCCACCATTCCTGGAACAGCTGACTCCAGACCTTCTAGAGTCAAAAAAAAAACAAAAACAAAAACAAAAACCTCCAGACCTTCTAGAGTCAAAAAAAACCAAAAACCAAAACAAAAACAAAGTCAATTTAGCCCATTTTTCTGAAAGTAATGCAAAATGTGACATTTCACCTTTTTTTTTTTTTTTCCCCTTTTTCGGCAAACATTTTTCCCCAAACTTCTCTGACTCTGGAAAATTAAATGCATGATCCCATTGCAGAAGTCTGTGCCCGACCACCGCCACAGGTCTCAGGCATCCCCTGTATTTCCAATAGCCAAAAGTACCCTTAGTTTCTCACACAGTTTTGTTCCTCCTTGTGCTTCCTGGACAGCTTCTTGTAGAGGTAAAGGGCTCGCTTCTCCTCCCAGCTCTCGAAGAAGGAAGCTGCGATTTTTCTGCACAGGCGGTGTGCATAGGTTTCCAGGAATACCGTGGCATAGAGGATGCAGAAGAGGAGCCCCACGACCAGCAGCACAGAGGAGTTGGGAGGCTTCGGGGGGCTGATCCTGCAGTGGGCAGAGCTGAAGATCAGATAATGGTGGTAGCTTCTTTCAAAGTCCTGAAGTGGTAATTCTTCGTAAGGAAGCCGTAAAAGTTTCAAAAGAAAGGGCAGGATCCCTATTTTAGCCTGAAATAAAGAGAGTTAAAAGTTAAATGGGGTATGAACAAACCAAAATCAATTGGTTACTACAAGAACACCAGCCTGGGGGTGTGTAATCACCATTACAGCTTGTTTGGGTTCATTAAGAGAAGGACATTGAAGTCCATACACACTTCAGGCTGAAGGAGAATAAGAGCATGATGTGTAGGCGCTGAGTACTTGGCACAGTGAGACCCAGTCCTATCTGTCATTTGTACCTGCTGTTACAGGGATCATAACAGGTATTCGCTGTGTGAGATTTATAATGAAAGACATAATCCAGACAGCAGCATTAGTGGCAGTATATTTGAATATCAGAGTTTTTTTCTAAGGCCTGATTATTTTACTGTAAATTCATCACAAGCAGGTGTCTGCGCTAAGGAACCCTGGGGCTGAGGAGGGAGGCCAGGTGCATGGTAGAAGAGGAAAGCTGAAAAACTAAACCAGAACTAGCCCAGATAAAGGATATTAAAATAGATAAAAACTGGGAGGTTTGTGAAAAGGATTGCACAGGGTAACATCAAAGCCAGTGAGCAGGGCTTTCTTCTTAAAGAACGGCCAGTGCAATAAGCTGAGGAGACATCCTCACGGCCGAGATGTGTATTCACCTGCTTCCCCCTTCCTTTTGTGCTTGCACCCACTTGGTGGCAGGGGGACGGTGCCGCAGGGACCCCCCCCTTCCCGCACCCTGCCTAGGGAAGGGACTTGGAGGTACAGGGGTGTCTCACTGCCCCGTACTAGCGGTGTCTTTGCAGCGTGAGGCACTATTTGCTCCCCTCCTCGCTCCCAAAGGGCTGTAATTTGGGGTGGGTGTATGCTGCTATTTGGTGCGCTGGAAGGAGCAACTGAGGTTGTGCCTCTACCTCCTTCCCCTCAAGTCTTGTTACGTTGCTTGTCCAGCTGGCTGCTGGGGAGGGAAGTAAGGATTGCGTAAATAAGGCCTCAAAGACTGCAATACCCACTGCCACCTCCTACAATGTGATACACAGCAGGGTCCCCATGCAGGGAAGGACAGGGGACCCCAGCACTTACACTGTATTTGATGCTGAGAGTGACGGGGACCACGGAGAACTGAGCTGCCTTTCTCACCGCCGTGTCTGCCACGCTGAACGCAAAGTGGTCCAGCGCCACAATCACCAGCATCAACATCAGGGCCACGGTGAGCAGCATGGCTTGTACGAGGCACAGCGTCACTTCTTCCCGCGACAACTTCAAGCTTGTTGGTCGAATGAGGTTTTTTGATGAGCCCGCCAACAGATGAGCTGCTTTTCTGTCCGCAGCTACATGCTCCAGCTTCTTAGTGATGTAAAAATTGTCAAAGCGGAGGTTGGTGAGATAATTTTTCAAATAGCAGGTGGACTCAAAACAGAGATAGAGCATGGAGAAGCCAGCAACCAGCTTGTTGCCTACTCGTACAGAGTCTTTGACCAGTACCTCAACAGCCAAAAAGTCCCTCCCAATTTTCTCACCAGCAAGGTGCATTTGTTGGTAAATCAAGGAGCTGTTCTTAAGCAATGAAAACTGAAAATGTCCATTCATAGGCTTATAAATATTAATGGAATGACCGGTTTCTTGGATTGCATCCCCAAACTCCCAGGAAGCTCTCTCTAGCAGAGCAGTTGAGTTCAAAAGACTCTCAGAGGAATTCTTGCAGATGCACTTAATAACCTGCAGTATGGTTTTAATGTTGCTTATGATGTTGGGTGTTATGTTAACCACCACTATCATGATGCAGGTTGATAAGAGAAGCTTCCGGCCTTGTTTGGTACCTAACGTAGGCATGATCATAGTGAAGACACAACGGGCAGGATGCACCAAGAAAAGGGTCAGGAGAAGGAGCAGACTGAAGGAGACAGCCATTGCAATGGAGAGATGCCAGGAGTACTCCAAGGAAGCAAACATCCAGTTGTAAAAGAGACCTCCTATCACCACTGTAACGCAGGAACACTGAAGAAACAAGGTCCACAGCTCTCTGCCGTTTGCTGGGACAGGCTTGGAGTAAACCGACCATAGGTCTGCCACGATCCTGCACACCTTTGGGAACAGAAAGTCTTCACAGTAGCCACAGGCTCTCATCCTGTAAAAAGAACAAGTACCTGGGTGTTAGCAGAGCAAGTACTGAAACACACTAATTAGGCGGTTTTCTTGAGATGATCACTCACGGGTCTTTACAATGTCCTCCTCTGAGTGCCTCTCGTCTCACTCTTCTCTGCTTCTCTGCTAACCTGAGTGGCTGGGACTAAGAGCTTCCCTAGAAGCATGCAGGACAGGGAAGTTCAAGGCATTTCTTGAAAGATCAAATACCAAGTACAATGCGACTACTCTTCCTCTAATGCAGGCACAGGAAAGCATTGTATTATTCTATAAAAATCATAATAAAGTCATTCAGAGGGGTCAACTTGTTGGCAGTGGCTAAGAGTGGCTTTAGTGGTTATTTAGAGGATGCTGGAGGGAGAAAGAGGAGGCTCCTGGCTGCCGTGGAAACTGTTAGACCAGCTCTGTAATTACAAGGTGTTCAATGGATAAGAGGCAGTTGAAGGGGAGTTTCTGATCTCCCTGCATCTTAAGAGGAGGCCAAACAAAAATCTGCAGGTTTAAGGGTGAGAAATACAGAACTGATCAGAGAAAAGTTTCACACGGAAGCTCCAGTGCCAGAGGAAATCTCCAAGGATAAGAATTTGGCCACTGCAGACAGGATGAAATGTCCCATAAAGCTATTTAAATGTCTAATGAAAACAAACATTTGGGAATGACTATAATTTCTCAGGCCTCACATCTGGAGTGACTCTCCAGAGACCAGAAAACCTGGTGGGGAGAAGGAGCCCCTCCCCAGGATTAAACCCAGCCAGGAGATCCCCATTTCCTCCTGCCCAACAGCAGCCTCAGTTATCCTTTGAGGGACAATTTTGACTCGTAAAGGAGGTTTTTCAGTGGAAAAAGGCCATTCAATAGCTACCAAGACAGAGGGAAGAAGAGGGATTAAAGCAGGCACTACATACCCGGCGGCAGAGAGGCACCCCAGTCTTGCTTGAAAGCTCTCCATGCTCCAGTGCCTTATTGCTCTGAGAGAGGATCCTGGGTGCAGCTGCTGGGAGATGCAGGGTAGGAAACCAAGGCAGCTGGCATCAGAGAGCCAGGATTCAGAAAAAGAAAAAAAAAAAAGATGATGTTTTAAGACAATTCAGATCAGCAACACTGGTAACTCCTGAAGTGAGTGGGCAGACCTGGTGTGTGAAGCCCAGGGCATAACCCCAATACAGGACAGAGCTGGGAGGCACAGCACTGCTTGGGCTTTACACTTCTTCTGATCTTACTGTTGTTGCAGGAAAGGCTTATTTTTGTGACACGTAGCTGAAAAAAAATGAGTCAACGACTGACGAAGATGGAACAAGCATCACATGGAACATGGGGTGTCACCATCCCTCGTGGGGAAATCAGCCGACTTCCTCTCCCACTGCCCACCAGTGAGCAGCAAGGTTGGGATTTCTCTGAGAGAGACGGGAAGCTTTTCTTCTTGGAGACAGCAGTCATGGCACAAAGGGCATGGTAGGATCCAGGAAACCACGTGCTGGTATTTGTTCATCTTTTCTGGCAGGTTGCTGCTCCCTGCTGAAACCGTGAACTTGTGTGCAGGGTACACAAACTGTTTAAAGGCTCAGCCCATAGTCCTAGCAGAGGGAAATAAAGCTTCAAACTCCAACCTTTCCCAATTCCCTATAGCCAGCAAATGGACTGCAAAGAAAGCCCTGCCACAGGCAGGATTCCCAAAGTGCTGAGAAGCTCCTAGACGTGCAAGCCGCGATGTGTGGTCCCCATGGGACCAGCTTGCCTGATCATTGGGACATGCAGGGCACAGAGCTCCAGCCACCAAACCCACTCGCTGGGAGATGAGGACCAGCCTATGGTGTTTGCTCCTCGGTGATGTTTCCAAACAAGAGGATTCCTCCTCCTCTGATCAGCTGGCACACAAGAAACATGTACCACCACTGCCTACTCCCTTGCACTGAGCTCATGGGTTACAGGAGCCTTCCCTGGCTCCCACCAAACCTGCCCCTTTGCCAGACGCTTTCATACTAAGCCGCTGCTTATGGGCAAAAGTGACACAGCTCATCCAGCCACCGCTGAGCCCACTCCTTATGAGACCCGCCGTCCTGTGCCGTGCCGAGCCGAGCCGAGCCCTCCCGCCGGGTGGGAACCACCGGGCCCCGGGATGTTCTCATGCTCCCCTGAGCAGGAGAGGGCAAAGGGCTGAAGGTCAGCCCTGTCCCGGCCACCCCCAGGGACGGAGCATGCGGGGCTCTGCTCTCCCATGAGCGGTGGGAGAGCAGCACCTTCGCCCGGGGACACGGCCGGACCCCGAGTAGCCGGTGGAGGACAAGCGATCATGAGCACGAGCGGGCAGAGCAAACTTCTGCCTCCTTCCTCAGCCCTTCCTGCAGGTACCAGACAAGGGCCTTTTCGCCCTTGCTGCTCCAGTCAACAACTCTGCTTTATTGCTAGAGTTTTTCTTTTTCCCACATGGCTGGTAGAGCAAAGGTTTCCTCCTGGTGCCCTGGAGCACAGACACCAAATGAGAAACTCCGACTGGCTCCAGCCGGGAAGAGGCACCAGCCAGGCGGGCGTGAAAGAAAGTGCCATTTGTTTGGAGCATCCATAGCAATTGCTTGCACAGGCCATGAATTAGGTCTTGAATTCAATTTGCAGACTATAAAGGACCACTCCAAGAGGCCCATAGCTGTATTCTGCAAGACTCATCAGGTTCTCCTTAGTCGCTATTCTGAGATTAAACTTCTTTCTCACTGTATTGCTAAGTTAACTGATTTCATCAGCCCCTGGGACCCCATCCAGGCTAAGTAGGTAGCTTTCTGGGCCACAGAAAAAAAATGTTAGCAATAAAGAACAAAAAAAACCCCAAGTCCACAACAGCAATGAGTATTTTCTGAGCCTGCTGCATCGTCTGGCAAAGGGAGCTGAAGTCTGAGGGGGAGCTGCGCTTGATCAGTAACTCCAAACAGCACCAAGAAGTGTTTGTATGCAAAGTTAAACCTAGATTTTCCTCTGGCTTGACTCAAAATTGATCTCTGCAGGCTGGACTATCCTAAATCTAGGATATCTTCTATTTTATACCCCGAACTGATAATCTCTAAATGAGCTAGAACCATCAATGCCTAACTTTCCCCAGGACACAATGAATAAGCTTGCTTTGCCCCCCACCAAAAAAAAATCAATTAAAAGTGTGTGTGTTTATACAGATAAACCAAGAACAGTGGGCGAAGGCTGGGGAGCAGGACACGGCAGGACCACGCATCTCAGCGAAACAACTGTGACATCTTGCGGTCACATTCTGCTAAAGTTCCTCAAGGGCTGTCTTCATTTCAGCTCAGAAACTAAATAAGTCTGTGGGTGGGAGAGTTTTAAGGAAAACTGAGGAAGTGAAGGAGAAACAGGAGGCTGGCGAGCTGGTGTCGGGATGTGTAGGCCGTATCCCACCGGGATGCTCCAAGGTGCCTTTTCCCACCCTGGGTCATGGGTATCTTGTGGCACAGCTCTCAGGTGGTTGTATACGGGGCTTTGCTTTCTTGACAAGCTCCAGTCTCTCTAGAGCCTAAGCTCTAAAATTTTCTAACAACATCCCTGATTTAGACTTTTTAGCACTAGGGTAGGAGACAAAGAAGAGACTCACATGCCTGCAACCAGCTTGCTGTAACCATAAGAAGACAACAGAGGGTTTCATTTGTATTGTAGCCATGAAGTATAGCCTGGCTTTGTTCTGATTAGGGACAGGGACTGAGCTTGAACCCACCAGGACACAGATTTTAAATCCATTTCTGCTTTGCAGACTGCAGTGCTCACAGCGTGGGTATCAGGGGAGTCCGAACAAGAGCCTCTCGCCAAGACACCCGCAAGTTCAACCTGTAGTGACAGGGTAACCTTGCGGTGGTGACGATGGTGGGAGGGAGTACAACATAAAGGAGCAGCTGTATCACAGGCAGAGCAGGGGGTACATGAACTATATAGCTTAAGAAAATAACTGGGTAAAGAAGATGAACGGAGGGCTAAAAATAGGATGATTTAAGGCTGAAGATATTTCTCCATGGCAATATCATCAGCACCTGTTAATCACGTTATTCTGTCAATTCAAGAAACTGAGGGTGTGGGAAAGATTAGCCCATTAGTGGTGATTCTTTGCTTGTTAAAATCCCATGCAAATCAACCACTTCTGGTGATACAGAGCCAGGTCATGTCTTCTTTGGTTTCTACTACAGAAATACAGAAAAATCCCAGCAATATCCTTTCAGTGACTGATGAAAGATAAACGTGATAAGGGAACCAAGGCTATCCCACCTGCAATAGCTGAATTTCCCCTATCAGGCCGGGCTTTCATTTGTTTCAGGAATCTTTCCCTTAGTCTCCTGAACTGCCAGCATCACTGCTGGGTACAAACGGGCTGTGGACAGCCCCAGAATCACTCCCCGCTGTAAAGACCCATGGAGCAGCACAGCAGCTCTTCTGTGTGAACAGTTTGCAGAGCAACTTGAATGCTTCTGAGATAAAAGATACTACAAAACACTTTCCCACTGTAAATAAACCAATATGATTTTTCTCCAAGTGTCTCAGGAGAACATGTGGGTGTTGGTCGGGGATTGGATGGGGAACATCAAAGGAGGAAAGCAGAGATATTCTGGATGTTGAATTTCAATGCGTGAGTGGCATTTCCTGTTCATTAAAATTCACAAGCAGGCTGCTAATGTGAATGGCTTTTGTGATGGTTGTTGGATTTTTACATTCCTAGGGAAACGGTGCATAGGCAGGCAAAGTTCCTTTAAAATAACACAGCTGAAGTTATAGAAGGTTAGTACAGTACTTGAAATGCCCTTTTCTGAGAATTTTCATATCTCTGCTAACATCACAGACCCTTCAAAAATAATGGGGTTGACTTACCATTAAAAGCTGCTTCTGGCAAATTGTAGTACTAGCAGCAGCAAATGGAATCAGAAATTATTCACACAGACCAGTTCACCCTTGAACCCCAGAAATACTAAATCTTAAAAAAAAAAAAAAAAAAAAAAATTTAAAATCAAGCATGCCAGACTAGTCCTGCTCTTACAGATGCCTGGATATGAAAAAGCAGACTTAGGTAATGCTGTCATCCACACACCTTAAACCAGATCCTCTGGGAGCCCTGGGAAATGCAGAGGCTGCTGACAGAGCTGGCAGAAGCCAGGTCTTTGACTAAAGTAGAGGTTTAGGATCCAGGTGCTCCTCATACCTTTCCCAGGTTTGCCAAGGCCCCGTTGTGGGACCTTCGGTAACTTACTGGTCCCCCCTCTGCCTCAGTTTCTCACATCAGCACAGAGATAATAAACCTTCCCTGTCTGCATCTGTAAAATACCTTCTGATCTCTGGACAGACAGTGCCACAGACATGCCAGGGTGCTGGGAGTGATTTTTGAAGGCTTCTACACAATATTTGTGGTCTCAGTTCTGCTTTCACGCCCACGTAAAACCATCCTCCTAGATTCAACTAGGACGCACCAAGCCAGAGCTGAGCCCATAAGTGAACCTGTGATCCCTACATCTGCAACGGAGCTGGACTGAATGTTACCCTTTGAACCTCGAAATTAGACAAGCCAAAGGCCCTCGCTGCCTGTCCTCCTGGCTGCAGGGACAGAGGCAGGTCTGTTTCCTGGAACAGCGGGGCTACATCCTGCGGTGCCTGGCCACGCAGGGCACAGCCCGTTCCCTGGCCCTGGGACAGCGATGCTGTGCTGATCATGGAAGAGCTGGCTGGGAAAGGGAACTGCAGGGAGCAATTGTCCCTTCCCCATTCAGCCCATCTTCGCAGAGGCATGACGAGGAGCATCCATGCAGAACGACAGTGCCCAACCCCAGCGCACAGCCGGCATGGAGCTGCCGTGGTGCAGCGGGACAGTGATACGGGGTATCCCCAGCAAAGGTGCTGCTGGGGCTGCAGCTCCTTAGCAGAGCAGCCCTGAGATGCTGGGCTAGGAGATTTCCCATTGCTCCCCTGCTCAACAGGGCTCTGTTTTGCTCAGACAAGGAGTGAGACCTCACTGCCCTCCTGCTCCTCCTGGGGAACCACTGCCCAAAACAGGGGCTGAAGCAAGAGGAGGGGGCAGCTTGGGCTTTGTTTTCTCCCCTCCATCTACAGAGCAAACAGGACGATGTGACGTGCTAACAAATGTGCTTTATTGTAATTTTTCCACATTCATTAAGGATTTTGTTGAACTTAAGGATTTTGTTGAACATTAAGGATTTTTTTTTAACTTGACCGATGAAAGCTCCACATTCAATTGGTTTTGGCAATTTTGGTTCAAGCCCCACGCATCCCTACCTACCATGCGACCCTAGGGTTGCAGCAGCTGTGGCTGGCAAGCATCACCCTGCCCGCTCTCCTGCCTAGCCCTGGGGTTTATCAGCAGCACAGAAGCAGGGGGGATGCAGTGGATCCCTACACCAGGCCAGTCCAACTTGCCAGCTCTACCAGTTTACATCATCAGAGAGATCTTGTCCCAGCACAGGGATCCAGTCACTCACCTTCCCTAGACCAAGAATCAGATCCTTTATCATTCAATCCATCTATTTCAATGACTGACCTTTGAAATTAAATAGTTTAGATTCTTACAGGAAAAAAAAAAAAGAAATCGGATAAAGTGGCGATTAAAATCACAGTCAATCTTCAATGCTTTCATTGAAAGTACCCATGCAATCTGATTTAAAAAGATGTTAAGAATCAAAGTCTATTTTTCCGAAATGTCAGTAATATCCCAATGCAACTTGTCCACTGACCTGTGACTCAGCGGGTCGCTCATGAGTGAGTCAATCTCACAAACCTAAGACTGGCCACATTCACCAACGGTGAAACACCACCGATGTCCAAAGTTACGTCAGAAATTAATTTGGTCTCAAACCTCCATCTGTGTACTCAGTGCAGAGAACCAGGCAGTAATTACTGTCCCAGGTTTTCAAAACATTGAACATGTTTGGAAACAAACTGTCACCTTCCTGTTTCCAAAGCATGGAGTCATGCACCAAGTCCTACTGACACGTCTCCTGAATCATCCCTTCATGCACAAACCTGAAGAAGTAGTCTTCATCCTCCACGAGAGAACTACTCATGAGATGGTACATGAGACCGCCATCCTTCACATCCTGCTAGAAGCACCTGACCACACCGCCTTCCCCTGGCCAGATTCTGATACACTCACTCACATTGGGCTGCACATAAATAATCCAGTTGCCTCCGCCCTGTTCCCAGGGCTGCTCTCCAAAACGAGGTAGGGTATCAGAAGCTAGAGCAGCGAAGCTCGCTAGCTTTCATGGGGGGAGAGGCATCTATCCAAAGATGCTTACGGGGTTGTCCAGTTAACAACCACCTACGACAGACGGACTCTGGGAGAGTCTGATTGGTACCTGCGGAAGGTGGGGAAAGATCTTCAGAGAAAATAACAAATGGATGTTGTGACACTGACCAGTATTTCTAAAAATAAAATTAAACCAGATGGTCCCACACAGTGTGAGCAGCCACGTGGCTTTCCTCCTGTGCATACTCTGACGATTCCAGTGCCCAAGTCCTAAGTGAGTGAGTCCTTCCCCGGGGGTGGCTTTGTTCATATTTTATTTAGTGCACTTAAAGTGACATTTTCTACAGCTGTCAAGAGTGAGGTGGCATTTTCTGCATGGATGTTGGCCCATGCAGGGAAGGTCCCCAGCTGGAAGATGCTCTTGGCCCATGTGTTCATAGCCAAGCTAAGAAGCAGAACTCCCATAAGATTCATGAGCAACCCAGTTCTCGCCTACAAAAGAAATACAAAGACAACTGTTGAGTTTAGACTGGACAAGTACAGCATGCGAAGCATGAAGCTATTTGAATATAAACATTATAAAAATGGAAGGCTTAATTGCCATTAATATTAGCAACATCTTAAGCGGGCTTTCTTAGAGTCACAAAGGCCATTCTGCAGATGCTTACCAAGCTTTGATCCATCAAAAACACTAACATCTGTGTAGCCTCAGGAATGTGAGCAGGAACTGGGACTGAGCCTAGTTTTACTCATAAGCTTTATTTCACTGAGCTGGGGAACTTTTCCTGCATCCAGAAACCTACGAAAGTTAAGCTGCTGACACTAGCAGGAACAGGAGCAGGGTCTGGGAGATGCTAGCATATTCAAGACCATCTTTGTCACTATTTGGAGCCACAGTGGCTCCAAATTTCACAGGGCCAGACTTCATACGGGCTCCTTCCGTATCCCTGTGCCTTCAAACACTGCCGAGAACAGTATCAGACTGCTGTCTTTTCACTTTACTACATACTGAACTAGTAAGAATCTGGAAAAATTCCTTTTTTAAACACTCCACTCAGGCGGATTGTTTTCAGCATTTTCTGTATCTAAAAGAACTTACCATATCCTTGACCATCAAGTGTCCAGAAGAAAACGCAATTGAGTTAGGAGGTGTTGAGACTGGCAGCATGAATGCGTAGGAGCATCCTATAGTTCCTGGTATCATTAAATAGAGGGGATTTACTTTCAGACGAATGGCCTTGAAAAACAGAAAGGAACAGAAATCACACCTTGGGGATTAGGAGTCATAGGCAGATGTAGCAAAGAACGCAACTAGCTAGTGCACCATGCAGAGCCCTGCTCCACACTCTGATAAATAATCACGTATCCCGCCAACAACATCGGAAGGATTATTATCATTCAGGGTCCATGTTATGCTACAGGTACTTGCTTTGTTGCTTCCAAGGATTTCAAAGTGTCTGAAACCCAGGAGCAGAAGAACTGCATGGTGCCTGCACTTGCTTTGTTGCTCCCAAGGATTTCAAAGTGTCTGAAGCCCAGGAGCAGAAGAACTGCATGGTGCCTGTCCCAGCACAGAGACAACACAAACTTGCCCATCCAAGGGGCCAGGTGAGGAGGGGAGCAGAGGAGCAGCTGGTCTTGCCATGGGACTACCTTACCAGCTCTGCCAAAACAGGCAGAAAGATGATAATAGTGGCTGTGTTGCTGGCAAACTCCGTGAACAACGCGATGACAATGGTGATGAGGATGACAGCCACGGGCGGTGGTACACCCTCCAAGGGATGCAGACGGCCTCCTATCCAGACAGACAAACCAGACTCCTGCAGAAGGGGAGAGCAAACCAAGCTGGAGAGCAGAGCTCCTGCATCCCTGCAGGTGTACCGATCCTCTCCTAGAACTGCAAATCACGTACAACCTTCACCGACCTACACAAGCACCTATGTGTGGTGTCCTCAGGGTAGTTAGCAGCAAGCAGTTTGAAAGGAGTTGCAAGATCTCTTAACCTCCTTAGTTATCTGCTGTGTGTTGTTGTCACTTGGAGTTCAGAAACGTGTCCTTCAAGTGCTGTGACTCCACAGATGCACATTTCCCAGAGCCAAATGAGAACCCCAAGTGACACCCCAATGAGTCCTAACTCTGTTAGGCAGGATGACTGCAACGTGGCGTCTGCGGCGGGCCTCACCTCGCAGCCTTTCGCCATGGCAAAGCCTCCTCCAAGCAGCAAGATGATGTTCCAGGGCACCGTCTCTTGGGCCTTCCTCCACGTCAGCAAGGGCTGCGTCTCAGTGTTTGGTGCTAAACAAAGAACACCCCCATTTGAAACACCCACCCAAAGAGGAACACGTCAGTCATCATCTGACAGAATGATATCATGAGCCTGACATTAGTGCTGAAGCTCACTAACCATGAGTTGCTGATAAAATATACATATGGAGTCTCTTAAACTAGATAATTAAAAGATCATTTAATTTAATATCGGATCCTAAAAAAAGAAAAAAGGAAAGGAAAAGAAACTCTAGCACTTAAAGTTTTCTTTGAGGCTTTCTTGAGGGAACATTTAATATCAGGTTAATTATCTCTCTGCAACAGACATAAATATTGTCCTCAACAGATGGGAGTCCATGGAAGGAAGAAATTTTCTACCATTTGAATTACGAAGATGTTACTAATTTTCTGCTTGCCATTCAACAGCTGGTGAGTTTCATAGCAAAGAGCTCACCTCCCCTAAAGACCACCTCTTAATACACGATGAAGTGAGCTCTGTCATATGGAAGGATGCACTAATGGGACTGTAAATTTCTGTTGAACAAGAGCACACATATTTTATCCAGAGGAGGCCTAATTAAACATCTTCCTGCATATGGACAACACAACAAATGTGCATGACTCAGATCAGCCGGTATTTTGTTCCCATAGACCCCAGGCAGCGCTACACCATGAAGGGCTTTCGTCAGCTGCATCTCCACATTAAGATCATCTCTTATTCCAAGTGGCTTATGAATTAAAATTTGAATCTCATCACTACTCAAGAGGACAGACTCAAGACCTCAGAAGACTCCTGGTACCAAAACCTGCTGGAGAGTTTGGGCTTCAGGAGTTTAAATTCTAAATCTTTCTAGGAACTGAGAAAGGGCTCCTATTTCTGAGTATGGACAACTCGCTCAGCTCTGCCCTCTCAGAGGTTCATGCTCCCCCTGACCGACAGAGCTGTTTGGGAGTCAGCAACCAAACCTCTGTTTCACAATCAGGTCTGCTACGGTAAATCAACACCAATTTCAGTTCACTTCAACCCACCATGGCATCATCTCTGACAGCTACATGAGCAACTGAGTCATTCCTGCAATCGGCAGCAGGGCAGTGACTGCTAAACCTCTTCTGGTTCTCCAGAAAAAAAGCCTCTGTAGGATCAAATTGTACCATCCGTTGTAGGATCAAGCCACGTTGCTCCAGACGGCCAGCACAGCCACTGTGGGCTGGTGCAGGTCCAAGGGGGGGATGGTCTTGGCTCTTGCTCCATGCCTGCCCTGCCAGAGCACAGGCAAGGGCAGAGTCCCTGCCCGGAGGGGTCTCCTACTCACCTTTCAAGTCAAACCACCACCTGAAGGAAGGTTTTTGCGAAGGGAAGAAGAACAGTATAATCACAATGCTGATTCCCGTAACCGCATCAGAGATAAACCTGTCCAAAAGCAGCAGAAACACTTGTTAGAAGCACAGGCCTGTAGAATTACAAAGTTTATGAGAACAGAGATTTACCAAAGAAGATTACAAGTTTCCATCAGGTTTGAACAACGCTCATTGTTCACGGTTCTTTTCTTTTTAATTCCCTGTTGAGCTACATTTCTACGATGAGCTGTGAACCTCCTAGAAAATCTGCCCTACAAATGTGAAAACCACAACCTAATCCCCACGACACTGATGCTCTGGCTGTTCTGATTGCGGAGTCGTGGTCAGTCCGTGAGGGGTTGTGAGGACAAATTTCCTCAGCTCATTGCACAGAAGAAGAGAGGCAGAGCCCAGACCATCTTAGTTATATGAGCTCTTTGCAAAATGCTCAGTCTCCAAGGTGAAAGGCAGGCTCCATCCAGTAAAGAGCTTAAGCATGTGTGTGATTGTAAGGAGCTATTAACTGATGAGGAAAAAGTCCATAACAACTTTGTTGTATTAAGGAATCATTTATTAAGCTAGGGCTTTATTTTAAAACAAAAACTATGAAGGTTTCTTCTGTTAAGAAATAAAACACCCTCTCTCAGCTTTAGCGTTCCCCAACCGTTATATCTGTTCATCCTCCCAAGGTATGGATGTCACAAGGGAGACCAACTTGCCAAACAGACAGGATAGCACTCAGGGTCAGCTCCTGCCATCTCCCTTCAGCCTAGAAAGCCCCAGTGAAATCAGTGGATTGCATAAAGAATTCAGTATTTCACTGTAAATGTGTCTACAAACAGTGTTCCCCACGTTAAAACTCTAGGGATGGCCTCAGATAGACACATGCCAACTTCCCACTGCGTTTCATGTAGCTCCTCTGGGAGACAACAACAATAAAGTTGGCTCTGCTACTTGAAGCTCAGTTTAATTTATTCCAGGAAATCTGAGTAATAGTGTTAAGTAATACAATCAGAAACCCAGGAATCTCAATGACTTGGAAATGCTATTGAAAAATGTGACAGTGGAATGAAAATAAAATCTTACCCTGGTGCAAACAAGCTTGCCCAACCTGGAATGAATTTGGGATCCCTGGAGAAAAGCATGATTGCAAACATGCAGAAGAGGAAGAAAATTGCCTGTTCTGCAAACCTAAAATGAAAAGAAAGACAGTTAAAATGCTGATGTGCTAAAGGGGTGGATCCAAGCTAGGACAAGTATTACGCTCAGGCTGCAGAAGCTTGGATGAGAAGGTAGGCTGGTTTTCTAAAAATCACTACAGTGAAACATTGGAATAGACTGTAAATCTATTTGCAAATATTGATATTTGCCAGCAATTATCTCTTACTGGACAACGTTAAGGTGAGGCAAGATGGGTATCAGGGATGCCCAGATGTCACAACAGGCGTACACAAGGCTGATCCTCCGGGTGTGGCAGAGAGGGAGGGCCAAGCAACCTTCTCATGGCCATTCCTCTTACCTAAGGCAGTCACCTAGGGATGGTTTCACTCCAGTTCAAGTAACGTAAATGGATGGCTGAGATTCAAATCATATATGAGACAGCAGGAACAAACTTCTTCAAGGTCAAAACCTAAACAGTATCCCTCAGACACGGGACAAACAGCAGGGTAAATGGCAATAGGATTCACTGAGTATCTTCTGGAGTCAAGATTTAACCAAGACAATGCCTCAAAACACTGTTTAAAATGTCTCTGGGCACAAGGAAGGGCATTTAAACTATTGGGAGGAGGCCACTTGCACTGATTTTAAGTTATGGGGCTGCTAATCGAATTGGTAGAGCACGGCTTAATGGACTTTCTCACTCCTAGACCTCAAAGTGGGACTTTGATTCTTTCAGAGACATTTTGCAGGCTGCTCGATAATGTACTGAATGGAACAAATAAACCAATTTCTTTCATTTACAGCACAGGCACAGACAATTGTCTTTGAAGAACCACTCCATTTTCCACACAACAGCAATAATTACAATGTCGATAGCATGACACAAACATCCCTGAATCTTCACAGCATTGCCCTGAGTATGAAAATATTATTTTACAGATGGAGAAACACAGACCATTTAAGGTTAAGACCTACGGTTTCAAAAACCTTCACTAGCCCTGGTTGCCCAGAATATTGGTTGGACATACCTACGGTTTGATTCCTAGAGATACTCAACTTTTCCTGCTTCCCCCTGCTTCAGCATTTCTCATAAGTCTAAAACTCATGTTTCTTTCTGCTGGTTCCTTTCTCCAAAATATGATTCCCATCACCACAATTTGCACCAAGCTTTTCCCAGAAGACAAGACCTTTGAGAAACTACAATAAGAAGCTAAAAGTCTCTCGTTCGTTCTTCACTCGACTAACACAGTTGAAGGAGTTTTCAGAAAAAATAATGTATTCCATGACACGAATCTGATTTCTTTCCATATACTTTCTTTGAGCAGCTATTAAGATTTCTTAAAGTACATCCACAATCCACACGATTCATATCTATCATGATTCATCAGCCTTCTCAGCAAATGCTTCCTGCTTTGCAAAACAGGTATGCACAAACCTTCAAAATACAGCTTGTGTTGGTTAGTACATAATGCACACAAGATTGGTTTTGTCCCTGAAGCAGAAAAATTACAAACAGTGATTAAACAACCCAGCATGATTTCACTCTATAATACGAACTTTGTTCTTGAGAAGATTTGAGTACAAGTTGCTATTTGCAATTATTCGTGTTAGTGAAGATGAAGAGGCTGGAGTGTGTAAAACGCAAACTTCAGCAGGTTATGAACACACTGAGTGGAAACATATATTTCATTCTCATCCCCCAGTCCTCCACTCTTAAGACAGGGCATTTCCAGACCCACTTGATTTTTTTTTCCATTTCAGTCCCGACTTTATGACTCACTTTGTTGGACCCAGTTTCTGATAGTCATCCTTTATCACTTCTCTGGCACGGGCTTCTGCATCCACTCTTATATTTGACTTTTTTGTTCTCCAGCCCCTGCCAAGAAACACGGTTACATTTTTACATGCCTCTAACATAACTGACATGTACTAAATGCTGCATTTTCTACCGTAGCATATGCCCGACTGGGTGTACTTCTCCAGCGCCTGCTCTGCAAGTTTCGAAGAGCTGCACGTCTCTGGCAGCTCAGTTTGCATTATCTTCAGATCATGAAGACTAATGATGAAGGTCTCTGGTGCAGATAAAGGCAGTAAGGCCTCATTTTATATGTCCTTTCTTGACGCATTCATACAAAGGAGACCCTGCAGAGGTTAGGTAGTTTCTTCTCATTTATATTCTGAACTGTTTCCTCCAGCATGGGCTGTGATTGCCAAAAGAAAGTCCCAACATTGCAGGATTTCCTCGTCTCTAGAAGTAACCTACTTGGGCAGAACTAGGAAGAGGGTGACAGGGAAAATGAATCTGTCCCTTCACTTCTCAAGTCACTTGCAATTTCGTGGGTGATCCCAGGATGCTGCTGAGGTTCAACAAAAATGTGAGGAATTTCTCACTGGCCAGGAATGTTAATGCGCTCCTGGTTAAGCCTCTTAGCCTGGCCACACTGACTGCACACGCTGTTTGCTCTTTTGTAGTACATGCATACAAATGATATACTCGTATTTTGCACTGCATCTCCCATCACATCCCGTGATGCTCAACCTCGTTTCTAACCTTGCCTGTGACCTTGATTAAACCTACAAACCCAACTTTCTGCATCAGAGGCATCCAGTCAGCCTCATGGTGCCTGCTTTTCCTTAATTCATTCACTGTTTCAAAGGAATATCGTGGTTGGATCTTCTATACAGATGAACAGTTGATCACTCAGAAGTTCCGGAACCCCAAATAGCTATATGTGGCCCTGCAATTTCTTATCTTTTGGGGGGTGTCATTAACAGCAGCTTCAGCTCAGCTCAGCCAGCCCATACCTAAGCCTTTTAATGTCTTTAGGATCCAAGTAAAGCTGACCTGCTGTTGGAGCGATGTCCATCTGCCTGCAGTGTACTGCAGACACCAAGGACTTGCCCACATAGAAAGTCCAGCCACTGTCCCCGAGTCGTGACAGTTAAAGCAGCCCAACAGACTCCTGCAGAACCTCAACTGCAGTTGTGCAGCTTTGCAACGTCTCTGCCGAGGCACCTCGCCACTGGGGAATACTGGTATCTGTGCTGGCCCAGCTATCCCAATAAAGCCGGGCTTTGTGCTGACAGAGACGTGCCAAATAAAACAAAAAGCATCACGTTCTCTGAGCACAAGAGTGATTTTGCATTTCATCAGGGGCTTTGGCCAGCACAGGTACCTTTTCCCTCACCTGACCGTCCAGGGCCGTGCCGGCAGGATGCTGAGGCCATCACCGTAGGACACGGGAATTCAGGCTCCGCATCGCACAAACCTCAGGCACACGATGCTGAGCACCGCAGGTCTAAGCAGCTGCAAGCCGGCAGAGCATCCCACAGCAGCACGCAGAGCCTCCCATGAAACCCCACGAGCAATTTAAGGACCGGCATTTGGCATTTTCGGGATTGAAACTTTCCCATTGATTTTTTCCTGTCTCTGAGACAATGTAAATATTTGGACACCTGTTCTCTTCCCCCCCACCCCAGCTCCTCTATTTGCGTATTAAACTCAAAATAACAATTGACGATTATCTAAATATTAGAAATTCTGTATGGTCCCTGGAAGAAGCAAGACTGTGAGTTTGTTACTATCACATATGAGAGTGTGTAGGGGGAACAAGGGCTCCAAATGAACCAGCATGGCAATGCTGCAATCGTTTTAAGTAGTGTACACTAGGGGTTGCATGTATCCAGCAAAGATTTACTGGAAAAACATGTTATCCTCAGTTACAGATTAACACGTTGTTGTAAAATTAAGCCCTCTTGTGAAGTAATCTGTTCCAAACCCAAGTTTCTGCCCTAGGAAAAAATCCTGGCTCTTTTATGTTCTAGGAGATTTTTGCTACTAATTCCAAGGGAACCAAGATTTCATGCTGGTCTTCAAAGTTTGATCCTGCTTTCCCTTCTGGCAATGAAAATCTGCCACTGACCTTCACAGGCCGAGGTCAGGCAGTAGAATCGTAGAATCATTATGGTTGGAAGAGACCTCAAAGATCATCAAGTCCAACCGTATAGCCAATGCCACCATGCCCACTAAACAACCTTTAAATATCATATGTTTAACTAAATGAGTATATAATACGTATTATGTACAGATATGTATTTCAGTTAGATAAAGTATATGTAGCTATGAGATATCTTTAAAACCCTCCTGTTGCATATCAGCTTCTTAAAAATAGAAGACTTGTTATAGCATGAGCAACCTGAAGTTAGTTATGAAACCCCCCACCATCCATGAGATCATTCTGGGTGGTATCAGTAGATTTAGCGTGAGAACCATGATGAACATGTATGTTACAATGCTGGTGTAACCGGGCAACATGTATGTATAGTGAAGGTAAACGTACCTCAGGTTAATTCCACCATACAGGATGGAGATCCATAGCCATCCCAGGAGAAGAAAAATCAGCATTAAAGGAAACGCAAACATAAACCAAGAACCAAAGTTCACCACATCACATTCTGGAAAATAACTAAGCAAACGGGAAAAATTAAGTTAATGCAAGAAGGGAAAACAACCCTTCAATTTAAGGATAAACAAACATCTGAAATCAGCAGCAAAATATCCCAGAAACTTGCCAGTCTGCATTAAAAAAACTGTTCCTCTGTGTGCATTAGCAGTCCTCTGGGCACCAGATTTGGGGAGTGTTGTGTTGGGACACACACCCCCCCCCCAGGCCACCCTGCCACCCACAGCTCACCCAGCCCAGCTGTGCAAGCCTCCATGGGAAGATCTGAAAATCCCTCTCCAGATGGCTGATGCTTTCATATAATGATACTCCTGAACAGCCAGGATTAAACCCCGCTACAGAAAACTGCCGGAGAGTCTGAACACAAACCTCACAGGGATGCTGTACGTCCCTAGGAGAGCCCGACCATACTACTTGTAAAGGCCAGCAAGGAGATACGGTGGGCACTGAGGATGGCACAAATCTCTGTTCTTATGCACAAAGGAGGCATCTTTTATGGCTAAGAAAACAGGCCAGAAGCAGTGGGTTCCTTCTTTTCCTTTCTACCACACAGCGGTAAATATAATTGCTCACAAAACACTACATGGCCTGTTTCATCAAAACAGTTACCAGAATAATTGTAAGCGTGTAGTCAAGCCCCATTAAATTCAATGGGATTAAGAGCATCGGCAAGGTGAAGCACATATGCACCAGTCTGGCTGACAGCCTGGCTGGCTATGCTGGAAACCTGCTGATTACAGCTAAGGCTGCTGCAACCACTCTCTGCTTTCATCTCCTCACAAAGTTTCCCAAAATGTTCTGGAAGGGCATAAATTTTCCAAACTAGTTCTCGGCACAGAAGGGAATTTCCGACAGGGATGGAGAACACATCTCTGTTTTCCAGGATTTACAGGGCTCTCCAGGATGGTCTCCCGTACCTCTTCAGCTGTCCCAGAAGGATGAGGTTTGGTGCAGTTCCCGTCAGCGTTGCTGTACCTCCAATGCTGGCTGCGTATGGGATTGAGATGAGGAAACCTTTCCATATATTTGTTTTGTATTCCTCCTCTCTCTTTAAGTCTGAGAGCGCATCGCTGGCAACCTCCTTCTCCTCCGTCAGATCTTTGCTTTAAAATAGTCCAAAAGAGAATCCGGTGAAAGCCCTGGTTTAAATACAGCGCAACCACTTCAGAGCCTTGCCAGAAGGAAAATTCCCAGTTCTTAGAAATCCAAGCTAACACTGTCCTCAAGGACACCTAAGCAGCTCAGTGCAGCAGAGGGGTCTGCTCGGTGATCTGCCACGCGGGACCGGCAGCCTTGCAGAGGGCAGAGCACCCTTAGCACCCATCCATAGGAGCAGAGGGTGCATGTGCCTTGCCCAGCCCCTCAGCAACTTGTAACACTTAGCATAAAGTCCAAGGGACTGCCAAAAGGAAAAAA